TGTAGTGACGTACAAAGAATAACAATGCCATCTAAAAAAGATAGCGTGTTACAGTTTGTCCATCATAATCATAAACTAAAAATTCCTTTCGTCATATACGTCGATTTCGAATGCTTACTTCAACCTGTACTTGGCGTAGAAAATGATCCTAACCAATCGAGTACAAGAAAAATTCAAAATCATGTTCCGTGCGGAGTAGCGTACAAGGTAGTTTGTTGCGCTGATTCGAGGTTATCTAAACCGATCAAATTATATCGAGGTAAAAATCCAGCTGTCTGGCTTCTCAAGCAGTTGATTAACGAAGTTGATAATATTACTTATCGTTTGAAAAAAGTAACTCCAATGTTAAAATTAACACCTCAACAAGAATCTGATCACGAGCAAGCGAAAATTTGTTATATTTGTGAAAAAGCTTTTGACCCTGACAACAAAAAAGTACGTGACCATTGCCATTTGACCGGACAGTATCGTGGAGCGGCTCATGACCAGTGTAATTTAAAATTTCACGCTCCAGATTTTATTCCAGTTATTCTTCACAATTTTCGAGGATATGATAGCCATATTATAGTAGAAGCTTTTGGTGATCCTGAGATAAAAGCTCATCTAAAACTCAATAATGTCATCAAATGCATTCCAAATAATTTTGAAAAGTACATGTCAGTTACGCTAGGTAAATTACGTTTTATTGACAGCCTGCAGTTTATGGCAGCATCGTTAGATGAGCTAGTAAAAGGTTGTAGTAAATTTAATAACCTAAGAGACTGTTTTGGAGATAAATTTAATCTATTAGCTAAAAAAGGAGTTTTTCCATACGAATATCTCGACGATTGGAGTAAATTTGATGAAACATCTTTACCTGGCAAAGACAAATTTTACTCGCAACTTAAAAAAGAAAATATAACTGATGACGAGTACAAGTATGCACAAGATATTTGGAAAGAGTTTGATTGTGAGACTTTTGGTGATTATCACGATTTGTATTTGAAAACTGACGTGTTATTATTAGCAGATGTTTTTGAAAGTTTTCGAGAAGTGAGTTATAATAATTACGGACTAGATCCTTGCTGGTATTATTCTGCCCCCGGACTGTCATGGGATGCTCTGTTAAAGTTTAGTAAGGTAAGGTTGGAATTACTGACTGATGTTGATATGTTCAATTTTATTGAAAAAGGTATCCGAGGCGGTATTAGCGTGATAACGAAGAAATATGCTGAAGCAAACAACAAATATTTGAAAGAGTATAATCCTGACCTTCCTTCGAAGTATATAGTTTATCTAGATTGCAATAACTTGTACGGGTATTCGATGGCAGAACCAATGCCTCTTGGTGGCTTTCATTGGATCACGGCTGATCAATTTCTATCAGAGACAGAAAAAAAGATACCCGACGATGTTTCGTATTTCGTTGAAGTTGATCTCGATTATCCAACTTCGCTACACAAATTACATAACGATTACCCTTTCTGTGCGGAATCGATGGTTATAGATTATAGTTTGTTATCAGAAGAACAACAAGCGTCAGCATCACCAAGGCAACATTCCATGGTCAAGAAACTAGTACCAAATTTGCTTCATAAACGTAATTATGTTTTGCATTACAAAGCTTTAAAACAAGCAGTCGATGCTGGTCTCGTGTTGAGAAAAGTTCATCGCGTACTAAAATTTAATCAGTCACCGTGGATGAGAGGTTATATTAACTCGAACACTACAAGAAGAGCTACGGCAAAAACTGATTTTGAGAAAAACTTTTTCAAACTGATGAACAATTCTGTTTTTGGTAAGACGATGGAGAATATTAGGAAACGCGTAAATATCGAACTAGTCAATGATGTCAATCGCAGAAACAAACTTGTGTCAGACGATGATTTTGTGAGCATGAAAATATTTAATGAGAATCTTGTTGCGATACAAAGAAGAAAAACAAATCTAAAACTAAACAAGCCGATCTATGTTGGAGCTTCAGTGTTAGATTTATCAAAGTGGCTGATGTATGATTTTCATTATAATTTTGTTAAAAATCAATGGCCGGCTAGTAGATTATTATTTACTGATACTGATTCGCTCGTATATGAAATCGAATGTGAGGACATCTATCAGGACATGCATGATAATAGATATCTGTTTGATCTTTCTGATTACCCACGTGACAGTAAATTTCATGACGACACAAATAAAAAGGTTATTGGTAAGTTCAAAGATGAAATGAACTCGAGCGCTATCAAATACTTTATCGGATTACGTAGTAAAATGTATGCCGTATTGTTAGACAATAATAAAATAACAAAAAAAGCAAAAGGTCTGCCTCGTGACTTTGTTAAAAAGTTTATAAAATTTGATGACTACAAGTACGCGCTTGATGGCGGTGTTAGTTTTATAAGAGCTATGTCAATTCGGACAAATCATCATAAGCTCGAAACAGATGTCCTTATCAAACGCGGTTTGAGCAATTTTGATGATAAACGTTATTGCGAAAATGGGGTAGATACATTTGCACTTGGGTATTGTCATGATGATAGAGATATATTTGACATTATCTTTGCAAACTAAAATTTTATCTAAACTTTAAAAATAATGTTTGAAAATTTGACAGTAACAAATAGCTACAGTAGCAAAATCAAATATCTAATGATGGACGGCAAACCATTGACAGTTGAAATTAATAATGAAACATCAGGCATATGCTTTAGTGGTACCCGTGACAAGTTAAAACTTTCGCTCATCAGATCTGATGACAGCGAGTATTTTAATTATCTCGAACAATTGTATCAAAAGTTGCTTGCGGAATTTAAAAACTTTCACTGTCCGATTAGTCAGCAAAAATACACCAAACTTACAATTGATCTTGATCGGTCAAAGGTGTATTTTATCGACAAAAAATACCCTCTTAACAAATCACAAATAAAAGATTTGTTTGAGTCCCGTCGTTATGTGAGCGGTAAAGTAAAGTTTAGCCTCTATCACCATGATAATGAAATATTTTTGATATCTACAGTTGAGACATTAACAGTTGGTAATGAGGTATAATACCACTTACCTTACTGGAATTCTAATGCGTAATTTAGTCCACAATCGCCACGCTCTGCTAAATCGTAATGATTTGGAAAATTGAGTCTGACATATCATTCTGCTTATTCTGGAAGATCACGTAATTAAATTTTACCTGTTACCTAGGTATTTTGCAACAGGTGTTCTATTGTATTTGTTTGGAGGTCTAGAGGGGTTGTTGAGCTCGGATTCTTAGCGCAATTATTGATTGCAATAGGTTTTCTATTACGTTACCTAGGTATTTTGTATTTGTTGAGCTCGGATTCTTAACGCAATTATTGATTGCAATAGGTTTTCTATTACGTTACCTAGGTATTTTGTATTTGTTTGGAGGTCTGGAGGGGGTTGTTGAGCTCGGATTCTTACTTTCTCCTACTACTGCATGGACCCATAATTGCAGGCGCGTCATGAACAGCATATCTCGGTCTGTGTAGAGTGTGGTTGGAGCCGATTTATAAATAAGTATATACGTTATATATCATCATTGTGTCATCTAACATGTAGTTATGTTTTCCTTGTTTGCGAAATGTCACTCTTATCTACCTCGAATCCATTCTTCCAAAGCTTGTACATTTGTTAAGGCTCTTGTTTTTTTGCTTAATGGATCTATTCTAACCACACAATCATATTTTTAAGGATGATGGTACGTATTCAAAACCATAAAAAACATAATCACTATAAATACTCATTCATTATGGCATATATCAATTTCCTTGATATTTTTTTTTTCAATTTTCCAAAAGCATTTGATGGCTTTCACATATCCACCATTAAGGTGATCAAGGGCTGTATAATGAACCGGGAGGAATTCTCAAATCCTTTTAAAACATCGATTAACTGGATTGAGCTTAATACATTTGTATTAGTTGATCTGAGTTATTATGCAAAGGCTAGTATCAGACAGTGAGGAGAAACTGCTATAACTGGGATCCTAATTAAATTTAACAATCGGTGTAACTGCATCTGAGTATTCTTCCTTACTATATGGATTCGATTGGCTTATTGGACATATCAACAATGATGCAAAGCCGCATCAAGAAGTATGATAAACGTTACAAATGTATTTTCTCGTAAAGAAGCACCAAAATATTCAGATCCAAGTTATCAGCCACAACGGCCTCTTTAAATAGGCCCAAAAGCCCCATAAAATAATTTCTTTATCATTCATGCTAAACGTTATGTGTGATTTATAACCGCTATAGATGTCAGACCGAAGCACTTGGGAGTTCGGAGTTTCTGTTATGATCTCTGCAGTCAATACTAATACCGCAGGTTGGATCTTTTTTTTAAATGAATGAGACATACTTTCTTTACATGGCTCCTTACTCGACCATTTCATCAAGAAACGTAGCTGCATTTCAAAGAAGTCTATCCGCGAGTTGAATATTAATATTTTCGACATGCATGCTGAAACAGGCTTGAAGCCCTGTTCTGGTAGGGGAAAACATTTGGTTTGCTCGAGTCTAGCACTTACTTGTTTTTGCCTTACATTGCATAGCAGTGCTAAAACAAAAATAGCATGACGGATTTTCGCCGCTATCAATGATAAAGGTCTAAAAGGATAAAAATGGGTCATCACCTGCTGGAATGTGTCAGACAGCGGTATTTTATTAGTTGAATGCCAGGGATGTGTGTGTGTGTGTGTGATTTGAACTTTTAACGTAGCTTACCACCTTTTCAGTCATATTGCTACAGTGTCTGTAGTGTGGTAGTGATATGATATGATGTGACTTTTAACGTAGCTTTAAAAAAGTTTCAGTCACATCGCTACGATGCCTGCAGTGTGGCAGTTTATAGTGATGTCTAGCACTGGGGCATCATGCCGCAGACATGTAGCATGATGTCCCACCCAGTCACATTTTCCTGACACCAGGTAGACCAGTCCTAACACTAACCTCTTAATGCTGAGCGCCAAGCGAGGAAGCGGTTAGTACCATTTTTGTAAGTCTTTGGTATGACTCGACCGGGAATCGAACCCATTACCTCCCGCATCGGAGGCGGACGCTCTGACCACTAGGCCATCTGAGCGGTTATATGCATTGTGGTAGTTCATAGTGATGTCTATCACTTTGCGATCATGCAGCAGACATGTATCATGGTGTCCCACCCAGTCACATTATCCTGATTCCAGGCCGACCAGTCCTAACACTAACCTCTTAATACTGAGTGCCAAGCGAGGAAGCTGTTCGTACCATTTTTGTACGTTTTTGGTATGACTCAGCCAGGGATGGAACACACGACCTTCTGCATCTGAGACAGACGCTCTACCCTCTAGGCCACTGGAACGGTAAAATGCCAGGGATGATCTCATGTTATCTATTGTTATACATGTCTTGGTAGATATATATATAATCTATCCGCTATACTCTCTCTCTCTCTCTCTCTCTCTCTCTCTCTCTCTCTCTCTCTCTCTCTCTCTCTCTCTCTCTCTCTCTCTCTCTCTCTCTCTCTCTCTGTTTCAGTTTGTTTGGATTTATGAATGCTGACTACAAATCATGGTGAAATCGTAAAATGGGACGTGGAAATCCACCCTCACTAATTTTTGCACCGCTAAATCCAAATGGTTTGTCTCTCCTTCTCGATGTCAACAATGCAAAATATAATTTGGTCCATTCATCTATCTATTACTGTGATTGGAAGAAATATGACAACATATTTCTTTTCTTGGTATCGAGAAAGTCTAAAATATAAAATCTTTGCCTTGTAAATACTTGGTTCAAATTTGTTTGACGGCTCCTCCAACGGAAAAGAGGGCTAGGATAGATACATCGAGGTTCTAAATCACATTTCAGCATTTACTCTCAGACCTTTTTAGAGTTGCTGCTCGTTCGAAAGCTCTTTCTTAATCCTATCCTAAAACATACTTTTCCTTTACATAAGTTGCAACGAACAGAACACATAAAACGGTCTTATTTTTTAATTCATTTTGAATTCATTGAAGAAAGATAAATATATTTTCTTAAAGTGAAGGCGAACGTGAATTTACATTCTTAATGATCGTGAAGACGTAACTGTCTACTTTGGCGATAAAACTATGTCTATCTACTGTAGAATAAAATGAATTGCTAACTATATCTAGTGTATGGCTATGTATGGAAAAACAACTTCCCTAGAAGAAATAAAATGGGCTTCAAAAAGGGAAAGGCCTTATGAAATACTGGTGTGAAGTTTATATACTTTTTAATTTGCTTTAATTTCTTAAAACATCACACTTATTAACTGACGATGTGAACTAGTCAAGTGTTATTCATAAACAATGAAAATCCATTTCAGTTTAATACACAGACTATTGGCATTTCTATGTAATTAAAGATTTGTTTAATTTTTGTCTTGCTTACATTATCTCAATTTTGAAAGGTGGACATTTGCTGTTTTGTTTGGTTTCTGAATGTATATAAATCTTTACAAATAAAATCTGAACATCGTTTGTGTCTAATAACAGTTAGAAGAATGGAGCTATTTAAAACGATTGGCAAACACCATTTTACAGCAACAGAAATAAGAAGCTAAATACATATATTATACCTTACCCAAGTCTGTATATACTTCAAAGATAGGTGTAGAGATAGTTATTTGAGCAAAGTCGACAGGGATTTCTTTACGATAAGAAACAACTAGCCCTGATGCATGACATTGTATAGTTAATGTTAGAAAATAATTTAAGCAAATAAGACCACAACTACAAACATAAGCAGCCAAGTTTACTTACGTTGCAAACAGTTTTCATGTACAAAAAACTATAATTCTAGTCCGGTATCACGGGATTCAAGCCAGTTCATATATTTGTCTTGATTAGTATACAGCAATGCTTACGAATCAGCATCAATAATGCCACAGATTGTATAGTATATGTTTATAGGTTCTTTGTCAAAATTTGCAAAACGTCGAAACTAGTGTTCTAAAGAAAAGCAAGAGAACACAAATTTGCTAAATATGGATGTGTGGAAAATATTTTGTTAATTAGATGGACAGACAGGTACTACAGAAGCAATTGATGGATACAACTTTACTTGTATAATTATATCAATTAGGACGTAATTTATTTTTTCTTTAGCTGCATTGTTCTTCAGGTGTTAATTGCCTTTGTTACAATCTTATGAATGATTCAGCTGATAATTAAATGACATCTTTACATGAGCAGGTTATCGTACCTGGATTTGTTTAGGGAACAAACTGAAACAGTAAAGCTCCAATTTGATTTAGATCAAAATTGTCTGCTGGAAGGTCAAGAGTTTAGTGTTCGCGATCAGAAATGTATCAAAGCTCAAATTGTTTAAAAACAACCTGATCATTTATGTTTGAATGTGTCTGAAAGAAACACTTTCATCGAAACGTATACCGCAAACCAAGGTTAATACGAACACGCTTATATCGAATTCAAAATTTATATGAAGAGCGTTTGTATAGCAGCCATAACTCTTATGGAAATAAGTAATTGCGGACTCAGCTAAGTATTTCTGAGTTTCCTAAGAGGGTAATTATAAGCTTGTTCTACTGCAATAACCACGTAATTAAGATGATAATGCACAGTCGATTAGCTCGCGAACAGGCCAAGCAGACGGCATCAATAAAGTCAAAATGTTGCCATAGTTTCTTGCCTTACTAAGCAGTCTTCCATGAAGTATTTAGCGGTACAGAATCATCGTCATTGTCGTCGTCATCCTAACCATCGTTATCATCATCATCATCATATCATCATCATCATCATCATCATCATCAACAACAACAACGAAGGAAGCAGAAACAACAACATTATCACCGTTATAGCAACATTTCACAGAAGAATACTGGCTACCAAATATATTCAGGAAGAGGACATTGACAAAATGTGACGGGAAGCATAAGTCTTTGAAAAATGAAAAAGAAAAAATGTTTTTGTTGGATACAAATTCTACTGAAATAAGTAAGGCAAAGATCCGAAAAATACTATGTAAAGAATTAATTATAGAACTTGCAAATTTGTATTCTCAGTTACAGGTCTAAAAAGGCATTAATTAATGCATGATTACTTTATTGGATTAGATGAGATATTAATTCGAAGAATGCTATTAATTGGTTGTACCATTCCAGAATTAATCTGCAAGGAATGGTTTCCTCCCGGTGGCGACCGCTCCCGTTTCTCTTTGAGGGAAGAATGGCTAGATACCTAACAAGTAGGTGACAAGTATTCGCACTGCGTATAGATGGAAATGTTAATGGTACTATGTTGCTTTAAAAAATAATCATCATAATCAGATTAAAAACATAATTAAAAAAGAAGGTTAAAAATAAGCATATCGTCTGCATGAAATGGACTATGCATATTTTTCAGAATATGGTCTGCATGAAATGGACTAGTCAGATTATTTGCAGACAAAGCCTATTTATATAGTAGCATTTTATTTACGCTGTTTAAAACACAATATCATTATAATTGTCGAATCATGTAGAACCTGCATAGCATGGTATAAAACATCCATTTAAAGTTCCCAAAGTCAGTCTTCCTTTAGTTTGAAGGTAAAGATGAAGCCTGTTAGTGTACATTGTGAATCCTAATGCTCATTTCTCTCACACATTATGCAATGACAGAGAGATATGCGTCCTGGTAACTTTATCTCTTCTGTGTCTGGTCAATGATTGTGTAAGAGCGTGTCACATTTTGTAATTGATATTTCACTATACGAACTGTATGTAGACCACGAATAATCCCCACTATATATGCCTAAGTAATAGCCGTTGTTTGAAAATGTAATCAGAAAATCCTTTGCAGCATCATCAGCAACGTTCATCATGATATATAAAGACTACTTAAAGATATAAATTGTGTCTGTAAAATACGTTGTTTTAATTATTAAAATTCACTCAGGTTACTCAAGACATGTCAATGTATACAGTATTATACTTATAATGATTGATATATCTTACTAGCCGTAAGATATATTTCACTTTCATCCCGTTTTATTTGGAGCTGGTTTCTTTCAGCTACCAAGTTTCTGGCTATAAATTATGTAACTCATATTTGCAGAATACGTATATAATAATAATAATAATAATAATAATAATAATAATAATAATAATAATAATAATAATAATAATAATAATAATAATAATAATAATAATGTTGAAGAAATATAATAATAAAAAAGTTTTCCTTTTTGCTTTTCTTGAACATAAAGATAGGTAGTTTTCGTTGCCTTTCTTGTCTATATATATATATATATATATATATATATATATATATATATATATATATATATATATATATATATATATATATATATATATATATTCCATCAATAAATATTCATTGACATAAGTTTTACTATTAAATACGCAAGCAATAGTTTTCTACACTACTATTTTGGCTTGAAATTTTATACGTTGAACAATCTTTAGGCTTTGATAATTATATTTTATTTTTTATTCATTTAGAAAAACTCATAACTTTCTGGCTATATTTAAATGCCAGTCATGTACAAAAATACGTGAATATGACGTCAATCGAAAGAGATCGAAACAGAAGAATGTTAATTTCTTCACAGAGGATTGGTTTAGCCTTTTACGGCATGTCAACACGCATAGTGTGTTTAATACGGAAGCACTTGGAGAAAATTATTTTGCTTAAGGATTCACCGCAGTAGTCGACCAATGCAACGAGCATTTGACACAATGGTCATTTTAAAAATGATCTGGGTTTCCATGACAACACGGCTTTCCGTTATCATTCAGAATTATATATTTTCATTTCCTCAATCTCATGAACGGTTTTATATAGCTCGTACCGTATATTTCGAATGACTGCATCACAAGATCTTTTAAATTTAAATAAATCAACTCTTCCGTAGCCGAATGGGATAAATATTCATGCAATTACAAATGATTATTTAACAATGCAAAGTCAAGCATTGATTATGTGTAATTTGATCACAGAAGTAATAACAATCCATCAAATTTGATCCCATGAAGGCAAGTTAGACACATATGGCCTAATAAGACAAGCATACGAAATCATTCGTTTATGAGTGAATTGAAAAAGGCAGTGTAACTATATTTATACCTATAGGTATAGCCATTCGCTACCCCCCTTTCTAAATGAAGATATATAATCTCGGACAAGACGAGCTTTACGTTAAGTATGAATTAATTGAACAAGACGACAAACACCCTTTATGATTCATAATATTGGGTAATGTCACTGTAATGGTGACCGAATGAATAAATGAAACTAATATGATGAAAGTAACAAAAACAAATTAAACAAAAACCCTCACAATATTGTAGAAATGTCTCCGATAAAGTGCTAAATATGCTACCTAAAGTTATTCTTCACTGCTCCGAAAATTCTAAAATAAAAAAAGCACATTTTCGGATACTAAGGGCATTTTTACAGGGACAGTTCTGTATATTACATTTTTCCACAAAGGTCAAATTTAAAGAATATGTCTAAAACGGATAATGACAAGACAAAACAAGTATCTTTTCTATAGACGATATTTTATATATAGAAGTATTTATCATATTTATCATCAATAATGTAGTTCAATCTCTTTCCAAAGTTGCTGTCTGTGAAGAGGTATCTATTAAATGGAGATGTCCAATAGGTCCGTTTTCACTGTACTTTTAATTTAGAGTGCAGACACTTAAATATAGTATCCTTGATTCATAGAACTTGTAGGTTTTAAAGTTTTGATAATTACTTTGATTGATTTACCGCTCCGATGGTCTAGTGGTTAGAGTATCCGCCTCTGATGCGGGAGGTCGTGGGTTCGATCCCCAGTCGAGTCGTACCAAAGACTTACAAAATATGGTACTAACAGCTTCTTCGCTTGCTGCTCAGCATTAACAGATTAGTGTTAGGACTGGTCGGCCTGATGCCCCAATGCTAGACATTACTATAAACTGCCACACTGCAGACATCGTAGCGATATGACTGAAAAAATTGTTAAAGCTACGTGAAAAAGAATAATCACCTTTAATCACATTACTTTGATTGATAAAAAATAAGTAACAAGACGCGTATTGAAATTAAATTAATGATAGAAACTTTAGGGAACAGTGTGTTATAGAGACAAGCGTTTAAACAGCTGGCTTCTCGTGCTATCCTACATCTTTTTTGAAATATTCAATGTGATTCACACTCAGTTATCGCAATTTTGTTCGTTCACAATGGAGGCATTTGTAAATTGAAATTGATTACAGTTGAGGCATTAAATCGAAAATTCCGGCTCTGGATAATAAGTTCCTTTGGATCGCCTTTGTTAATCATTCTTTGGAAATTATACCTGATGGATTTTTCCCAACGAATTCCCTTGATACTATGACTCACGGCAAGAAATTCCAAAGACAGTGTTTGTAGTCCGTCGAGAAAATCCTTAGTTCTGGGAACAAATGATCATTATGACATTAGTTTCATTACTACTTTGCTACCATGAGTATGTATGTATGTATGTATGTATGTATGTATGTATGTATGTATATATATATATATATATATATATATATATATATATATATATATATATATATATATATATATATATATATATATATATATATATATATATATATATATATATATATATATATATATATATATATATATATATATAATTATTGGACAGTCAAGCAGTGTTTCATCAACTTATCTATTTTGAAGTCTTCCGATCATGCATGTACATATACACTGATTTTACACTCCTGAAACAATGTAAAACGTGAAAAGCTAGGATATATTTGAATGCATCTATTTGTTAAATAGTTGCAAGCATTGTAATCTAATAACTTTATATCAACATACTATTTTGTGATATTAAATTCAAATATTTATAACTCATTACTTGACCATTTCGAAAGAAATGGAAATGAACCTTAATGAGTTTCCAAAAAGATGTTGTATTTTTTTTAAAACAATTACCATCTTTGTTACAAGTGACCATCACGTCAGTGGGTTCCAGGGTTTGATTATTAACCGCAACTTTGGTTGTTAATCCTCTGCTTCAAAAAATTTGATGTCTTCTTGATTTAATGGTGAACCGCGTAGGACACACCGAGTGTGATAAATAAGTTTTGAAGTACGTGGAATGCATTGAACTTTGCCATGTTTTAATAAATTTGTTTATGTAACTCTCGCTGTCCTCAGGACTTTAAATTCTACCGCACTTGTACCACATGAAGGTCCAGCTGGAAGTACAATTTTAAGCGGCTTCATGAAAGAAAAACCCTAGCGTTTTCCAGAATAAATTATATTTATGATTATGTACAAGACTACAATCCCAGCGTTTACATGGGATGTGTGCATCTTTGTCACGTTGAAACTTTCTTTATTTTACTCCCATTTAATGTTTATGTATATACATCGTTGCATATATTCATACAACTGTAGCAATTCAAGCCACAGTTGTTCTAAGGACACAAGCCAAGTTATTTCAGATTTCATTATTATACTTTCAGTTTGAATATTCATAAGGTCTTTACTTAATTACACTATCCCCCTGACAGATTGTTTATATAAACGAAAAAATTATATGTGATGTTTTCTGCTTGCCTGCCATGTCATTTGATATTCTGAAGCCGTGATTTGAATATCTCGACGGAATTCCATTAAATAACTGATTCAAGTGGGTAATAATTAAGCTGCTCCATATTGGATACAATATTTCCATTAAGTCAAATCCTCCTGAGGAGAAAGTACTAATGGCAAAATCTATACATATATTTGCATTAGAATTAAATAATCTATTTTCCCGTTAGTTACCGTTTGGACTTGCTCCAGCACTGGAACGATAGCTTCATTTTTCTATTGATGTGAATTCACTGCTGATCCAATGGTTTCACTTTATCAGGCTATATTCTTTCAATATAACCTTAACACAATTATTGTGTCATGAGTTGCACAATTGCATCCAGTGATTTGATATCTAAGGCTTTGTTCAGAAGGATATGCTTACCATTTGAAGGTCTACCCTAGCGCATGCGTGAATATCTCCTATATCTTTTGAAGTACGTAGTGTAGAGTCTTAATATGGATTTTAAAAATGTATAAAATGTAATTATTATTTACAAAACCAAGCAGTTAGTGTATCACAGAAAATGAACAAAGTTCTTCATATAAAAGTTTATCATGAAGCCGTAGAAGATGGATGAGTGTTTGTGGTGTCATATTATTCAGGATTGAAATATCACATGGTTAGATCACCTTGGGTCCATAGTCTGAATTTGTCTTACTATCGTCTCCATCTGGTCCTATATTAAAGTGTGCCTTTCTCGGACATTGCAAATAGAAATAGGTACACCTGAAACGATCTACGACAAAAAGAGACTATATATGTCAATTTGAAGTCCATTCAAATTAACCATTTGAAGTCAATTACGACTGGTCATAACATTCTTTAAAATGAACAGGACATTTCATTGTCTTCAAATATCCGTCATTGAGCTTTATGAATCAAATATAGTACATATGAAATTGTTTAATCAGGAATAGAATCTCTCTTGAAAATCGGCTTGTCTCAGACTGAAACGAAATGTACCTTGCTTGTTTGTGTGTAACTTATAACGCTAGGTTAGATCAATTGTCTATCCTCTGCTGTTGTTATTCATCATCAGGTTTAGGAATTATATGGAAAACTAATCATTGTTTAAAACAAAATGCACGCGTTCATTGGTGTTGGCATAGACAAATGTTAGATAAAGCTTTTGACAAATCCATAGAAGTTTAAACTTCAGGTTACATATAAACAGTCTCTTTTTTAATGCGCATCATGAAAAAGGACCCTGTCATAATGCATGTGTGTATGCACAAACAAATGCTTGCTTTGAAACAACTAATTGTCATCAGCTGACTGTAAAGAATTTGCCTAATTATGCATTGTAATATTAACCAGACCTTGCCTTGCTCTACACGATACATTACGTATAATAGATTATTGTTAAGTATGAAAAACATTAATCAGACATGAATTTCAAAATCATTAAGACTTTTGTTTATGTAGATCATCCATAGTTTTTAACATCAGCCTGATTTGGACAAGATTACCGTAACGTTCAAAGTACTGATGTCCCATGTTTGCCGGGATACCTTGATAATAAAAACTGAAGATTTCTTTATAAATCCACTCACAATTATATTAGCATTATTGCTTAACACTGCAGACAAAAGGATAAGCATTGGTGGAGATCACGACATTCGTGCCTTTAAAGGCTTCTTAAAAGTAATTTCTGATCAAATATAGCCATTAGCTTATGTTAACGCTTATTACCTTGTCCTATAAACCTTTATTCCCTAGAGCAATACAACGCTCGTTGTATGTTGGATAGCAGCAACAGGGAGTTCATATGAATGACATTGAAAACAATCTGCCCTCAGTCCAACGGCTTTCCAAACCGCAACATTTCTTGTGCTTGCCCATTCCGATGCATAAATCAACTTGTATGTTGGTTTTCCAATCGTGCTGTACTGAATTCAAAACAAGTGAACCTCATTCGCGCCTGCTGTGCCCAATCCACCTACATCACAGGCCAATTGTGTCGTGCTTTGAGCGATGTTGAAAGGATTTATCGAATAAATAGGCGCTATGTTATTGGATCGATTATCTGAATTACAAGCTAATAAAAAAGCATTCATTAATTTCTCTTCATATTGCTCCACACGAAATTCAGCTAAAAAGCAAAAACATTTCATGCTGTCTTTGATGTGAATTCGTTCAATTCGTTTTACATCAAATCGAATATATTTGCACTAGTTCACACTATCCTTCGTATAAAAACAAGAATAAGTTTTCAGCTATGCCCAAATCGAAACCGAATACCTTGATTATGATCATAGATTTAAGAATATATTGAATAAAACAATATTTTAAGAGCTTACACATAAGCTTTCCCGCAGAAATTTCACGTGGTAGTGCATATCAGAAAAAAGATCATCATTGTATAATTCGTGTCTCCATTATTGAAACGTTATATATATATATATATATATATATATATATATATATATATATATATATATATATATATATATATATATATATATATATATATATATATATATATATATATATATACATACATATATATATATGTATATATATATATATATATATATATATATATATATATATATATATATATATATATATATATATATATATATATATATATATACATATATACATATATATACATATATATGTATATATGTGTGTGCATATATATGTATATGTATATGTATATATATATATATATATATATATATATATATATATATATATATATATATATATATATATATATATATATATGTATATATATATATATATATATATATATATATATATATATATATATATATATATATATATATATATATATATATATATATATATATATATATATATGTATGTATATATGTATGTATGTATATATATATATATATATATATATATATATATATATATATATATATATATATATATATATATATATATATATATATATCTGTGTGTGTGTGACCTTTACACAGCAATCATAAAGTTAGAATATTATACACTATGTATACGCATAACTGTACCAGAAAGCCATTTACTTCATTTTTAGTATGCTTATGTTTGGGAAATACCACAAATTACTTGACTTTGATGACAGTAAGCGGATATAATATAGAATACACATATAGAATGTTTAATGCATGATTTTAACATTTCCTTCAGAAGATCTTATTTGAGGAACTTTCAAGGCAGTTTACTGTTTTTATGCCTGTCTTTCTGGCGCTTCGTCTGTAGACCTTC